GGGTCACGGACCTCCGAATCAAAAACAGAGGTATTTGTTTACGGGTTTGCGGTTATTCTGTCAGAAAATAAATACGGTTTTGCTACTCACTTATTTTCAAACACAAACTAATCCAGAGTCTGTTTTAAAGGTTATTCGTGTCTTTAAGAAAGTGTTTCGCGACAGGTGCAAAGGTCGCGCGAAGAACACGTAAATAAACTGCTATCATATCTATTTAAACTCTACACGAGACGGAATCTCTCTTACCCATGTCCTTGAACTCCACATTGGTGCCGAATAGAGATTGATTCTTCCGACCCAGGAAATTGAGCGGTCCTTTCTTCATGATTGTGAGAGAGTGATTGTATCCGCGGTGATTTAAATCAGCGTGATTTCATGATTTTTAGAGTTTTAGCGGCAGCTGACTGTGAGCTCGAGTCTCACTGATTCAGAGAAACACTGAGGAGAAGAAAATGGCCCCGCACCTGAACTGCCACGTGACCCCGCCCACTCGAAGACAGGTGAGCACACACTCACACACACACACACTCTCTCACACTCACACACACACACACACACTCACACTCTCTCACACACACACACACACACACACACTCTCTCTCACACTCTCTCACACACACACACACACACACACACTCTCTCTCTCTCTCACTCACACACACAAACACACACACACACTCTCTCTCTCTCTCACTCACACACACACACACACCCTCAGTGTTACTCACTCTGCTCTCTGAATGAAACCCAAATATTTGCTGTCATGGTGAACTTGAGTCTCGTTCAGGAATCAGAGGCCAGATTTACAGTGCTAATGTTTGTATAAATCTTTCCAGTAATTACTACGCTTTGTTTGTGTGTAAAGACTTGCCAAGAACTTTTTAAACGTATATTATTAATTTGATAAATAATAACAATTTTAGTACTTTCTCTCTCTATGTATATACTAACTTACATTTACATCTTCAATAAACTATAATTTGACTTAGTATGTAATATCTAAATAATATATTACATTTCGTCTATAATTAACATGTTATAGCTAAGGCTTGTAATATATTTACTATAATATTTAGATATAAATAAATTATATTAAGTTCAGTCAAGCGGTTTTGTTAAATTGAAATATTTATGTATAATTGATTTAATATGTAATATTTAGTATTAGGCCTAAATTTGATCTAAATGAAACAAGTCAAATTTTTCATAATTATTTTAATATAATATTTAGATACTTGTTTAATGTATAATAAATAGACAACTTATGTTTATAAATTATATGATTGATAGTTTAAATTATTACATTAACTCAAACCTATTGTATTTTATGAATTATAAATATTTTATATATTATTATTATTGCTGCTATTCAGTGCTCTCTGTGTGTGTGTGTGTGTGTGTGTGTGTGTGTGAGAGAGTGTGTGCGTGTGTGTGTGTGTGTGTGTGTGTGAGAGTGTGTGTGTGTATATATATATATATAGTTTAAGTTTTATATAGGCCTATTGCATATTTCGTTAAGAATGTTTGATATAAATTAATTATTAGTTTTAGATATATAATTAATTTCGATAATAGGAATGAAATGAATCAGTGAATCATTGATTCCAGAGAGTCGGTGTGAACGATAGTGAATCTTAGCATAGAGCGAGAGGGGCGTATCCCATCATTCCCAGTCGGCATGGCAACAGAACACGCAAACCCGTCTGTCCTGTTCCTCCAGGTCGTCATGGCGATCTGAGAATGTTCACAATGCGTCGCAGAGTTCCGTCGTTCGGCTGCTCGGGTTTCTCAGGAACGTTTCTCACATGCTTCACATGATTTATGATCGATGATTCCCATGATGCCTAATGTGCTTTATTAAAGTACATTAACACTGTCATTTACTGTTCCTCAAGTTGTTCCAAACCCGTATGAGTTTCATGAGCTTCTGTTAAACAAACGAAGATATTTTGAAGAATGTTGGGAACCAGATAATTGCCGGTAGCCATTGACTTCCATAGTGTTTTTTTCCATTGTATGTAAGACTTTGGCTACCGTCAAGGGCGTAGGTTTAATTTAGCATTGGTGGGGACGTAACAGCCGATAACAGACATTTAATTCTTTGATCAAAATTATTGCTACACTGTAAAAAAAAATAAAAAGTTGAGAAAACTTAAAAGTTAAAGGCAACCAGCTTCAGGAGATGTTTTCTTTGGATTGTTTGACTACTCAAAAGAGAATATAGAAAAATATCACTTAATGCTAGCTAAATTTCACGTACATAAACAGAAATCTGGCTCTAAATCGATCTTTTTCTTTAATCAGATTTGATCCACATGAAACTAAGCTCTGTTCATCCCAAAGCAGTGATAACTGCATCTCTATATTCACCCTGTGTGTCCTCTTAAGGTATATATTTATTTATTTTTCTTTTTGTTAACCCGGCAACATGGTTTTGCTTCAAAAACGTACTATAGTTAAACCATGGTAACCACAAATTAACCATGGTTTTACTACACTA